AAGCTGCTAACTCGGGAGCCAGAAAAGCTAAAAAGTGGAAATTTTAAGGAGGTGTTCCCCATCCACATAGGTCTTAATGGTTTCAATCTCAGTCCCCGCGTTTACGTGATTTCCAAGTACGGCCTCGTAAAACTTTTTTCCGGCTAAGTTGCTAACTCAGAAACCTAAGAAGCTAGAAGACTGGAATTTTGAAGGGATGTTCCCCTGGGTATTAAGCTCAAACACAGCCCTCGGGTATGCGTGGTTTCTATGTACGAGCCCGTGAAAATTTTTTGCGAGTAAGTTACTAAGCTGGAAACCAGGAAAGCTGAAATTTATAAGGAATGCTTTCTGACAGTCCTGGTGGCCAGTCTCAATTCTTTTAGCCAGAAGCATTTGCCGAAAGAAACAATGCCGTTAGCGATGAAAATCTGCTGGGAACTATGCAAAAAACGCATATTCGCACCAACAGTCGGTACATTCAGTTAAACTGACTTTGTTGAAAAAAAAAAAAAAAACAACTTGTTCCGTGCGCTATAAAATGGCGGTGAGGCTAAATCCTTTTTTACTCGTTTCTCGCTGCAACAACGTGTAAAAGAAAATTGCCGAGAACTTGTGTGTGTGTGTGTGTGTGTGTACCTGTATGCAGTGTGTGTATGTGTGTGTGCGTACATGCGGCATGCGTGCTTGTGCATGTACGTGTGTTCAACAACCAATAAAATTTTATGCGATTGTTTCCTGTCAATGTGCTGCTCTGGAAACAAAAATTCAGCCTTCACGTATGCTTCGCTAAGATTTTTGTGTTATCTGGCTCTCGAGTTAGATCTCCAACCGCCAATTTTTTATGTGTCCGTGCTTGAGAGACACACGTGAAAGTTTAATTTGTGGAAAATGTTTTTTATTTATTGCAACTCTGGAAATTCAAATTTAGCTTCTGCGCACTCGCATGTTTCATACACGGATACGTATAATTTCCATAGGGAATTTGCTGATTTCGCTGAGCAGAACTGCAAAAGAGGTGTGCCAATTACCTGGAACGCCTCGCTATCCATTTTTTAGCGAAGAAGCTTCTTGCTGCTGTTTCTTAAAATTGCTTCATTTTTGATAACTTCTACTTTTCGAGCCGTTAGCAAATTTTAGTGAAAAATTTGTTAGAAAAGGAATTTTAAGCACACAATTGTTCTCTTTCTATGAAGATATGGATGAATGCGGTGCTGATACTCTTTCTGGTAGCGACCATAGTGATCTGTATTCGCGGCCTTATGGATTATGGATTCACGCTGGACTCAATTCCCAATTTCTTGCTTATTATTATGCTCCTCATCGTTTCAATCATCATCGTATTTGCTATTACAACCGAACGAAAACCATTCATTATGCCGCTGATTGGACTTCTTGTTAGTTAAATTCGTTCACCGTGAACTAGGTGCGATACTCGAATTCTTTGGCACTGATGAATTAGTGCTCCTCCATTTTTCTCGTAATCTCGATTTAACTTTAACGCTCTCTTTGCTACAAAAGAACTTATGCAAGAAGATAATGACAGCGGATCTCTGCCAGCAATGGTGTACTGGTTGTAGAAACGGCTCTTGCTCCAAAGCAATTCCCGGAAGTTTCACAGAC